CGTCCCCCTGGGTAGAGTGCCTTGGCATCTCAGCTCACAGCAACCTCCAACTCCTGGGCTCAAGCCAGTCTCCTGCCTCTGCCTCCCAAGTAGCTGGGATGACAGGCGCCAGACACAACGCCTGGCTATTTTTTTTGGTTGCAGCCATCATTGTTGTTTGGCCAGCCCAGGCTGGATTCAAATCCGCCACCTTAGGTGTATGTGGCTGGCGCCTTAGCCACTTGAGCCACAGACGCCAAGTCATCTTGCTCTTTTAAAATAGCCTAATCTAGTTTGAGCAAGAGCAAGATCAATCTCTTTAAAAAGTAGTCAGGTATTGGGTAGTGCCTGTGGCTTGGTGAGTATGGCGCTGGCCCCACATACTGAGGGTGGTGGCTTCAAACCCAGCCCCAGCCAAACTGCAACAAAAAAATAGCTGGGCGTTGTGGGCGCCCGTAGTCCCAGATACTCAGGAGGCAGAGGCAAGAGAATCACCTAAGTCCAGGAGCTGGAGGTTGCTGTGAGCTGTGTGATGCCACAGCCCATAAAGTGAGACTCTGTCTCTATGAAAAAAAAAAAGTAGCCAGGTATTCTGGTGGGCACCTGTAGTTCCACCTACTAAGAAGGACGAGGCAAGAGGGTCTCTCTTCTTTTCTTTATTAAATGGACTTTATTTTATTTTTTGCAGGTTTTTTTTTTTTGGCTGGGGCTGGGTTTGAACCCACCACCTCCTGCATATGGGGCCGGGGCCCTACTCCTTTGAGCCACAGGCGCCGCCCAAGAGGATCTCTTGGGTTGCTGTGAGCTATGAGGCCATGACACTCTACCAAGGGCAACAAAGTGAGATTATGTCTCAAAAAAAAAAAAAGAATATATATATATATATATACACACATCCTAGAGAATATGAATCTATTAAATTATCACATGGACCCCCCCAAATATATAGATCACTCCATTATTATATTCCCACTTGTTGTATTTACAGTTTACAGCTGTGGTGTTCCCCTGTATGGGTTTTCCATAACTAATGTTAACGAACTGTCATTAGATCCTTATAGATGGAAATTTATTTCTACTGCTTTGATAATACAAACAGCGCTGCAATAAATATTCTATGGCAATGCCTCTGTACATATGCAAGTGTTCCACAGGATAAATTCCTAGAAGTAGCCAGGAAGTACCCAAAGGCTGTGTTTATGGTGATAGCTACTGTCAAATTGCCCTCCATGGGAGAAAGCTGTGGGATGGGTAGGACCAGCCACTTTGAAGTCATGTGTGTGGAAAAGCAGGACGGACATGGGTGCTCCAAGATGTTCAGATAACTGGCCTGTGTGTGGAGTCATCCCGGCTGTGATGGAGAGCCAAGTCATGTGCTTCAAGACGGCAGGGGATGTGCCTTGTCCCCATAGCATGTCCAGTACCTGCTCACTGCCTGGCACATGGGAGGTCCTCATGCATGAAGGAACCAACATAACATAGTGGTGAAGAAGTCACCCTGGAGTCTGGCCCCTGGACTAGGTGAGCCACCCAACTCCTCAGCTCCACTTCTCCCTATTTGTACTATATCCAAAGTTAACAGCAGGGCTCTTGGGAGGACTGGAAATACTATAATATATATAATGCAATAACACTGATGAATCTTAGAGGTAAAGCAGTAAACTGTATAAAACTGCATACAGTATGATAGCATTTTATGAATGCTCATTTGCTCAAAAATGAGCAAAACTAAGCTATCTACTATTTGGCGACACATGCATGTGATAAAACTCTCATTAAAGATCAAAGGAAGGGGGCAGCACCCGTAGCACAGTGGTTATGGCACCAATATGCACAGATGGTAGCAGGTTCGAACCCAGCCCGGGCCAGCTAAACATTAATGACAACTGCAACAAAAAAATAGCTAGGTATTGTGGCGGGAGCCTGTAGTCCCAGCTACTTGGAAGGCTGAGGCAAGAGAATCACTCAAGCCCAAAGAGTTTGATGTTGCTATGAGCTGTTATGCCATGGCACTCTACCGAGGGTGACATAGTGAGACTCTGTCTCAAAAAAAAAGAAAAAAAGAAACAAACAAAAAAAAATTATAATTCTTTTTTTTTTTTTTTTGAGACAGAGCCTCAAGCTATCCCCCTGGGTAGTGTGCTGTGGCATCACAGCTCACAGCAACCTCCAACTCCCAGGCTCAAGCCGAGTCTCCTGTCTCTGCCTCCCAAGTAGCTGGGACCACAGGTGCCCGACACAACGCCTGGCTATTTTTTTGGTTGCAGCCATCATTGTTGTTTGGTGGGCTCGGGCTGGATTCGAACCCGCCACCTTAGGTGTATGTGGCTGGCACCTTAGCCCCTTGAGCCACAGGCGCTGAGCCAAAATTCTAATTCTTAAAAAAAAAAAAAAAGATCAAAGGAAGGAAAAGCACAAAATTCAAAATGGTGGTCCCTGAGGGCACAGTGC